GGTGGGGAGAACGAGGGGACAGGGGAAGGGGTGATGGTGGGGAGAACGAGTGGATGGGGGAAATGGGGATGGTGGGGACGAGGGGACAGGGGAATGGATAATGTTGGGGAGGACAAGAGGACAAGGAACTGGGGATAGTGGGGAGGACGAAGGGACAGGGGAGGGTGGGGGAATGGTTGGGAGGACGAGGGGATGGGAAAGTGGGAAATGGTAGGGAGGACGAGGGGACAGTGGAGTGGGGGATGGTGGGGAGGATAAAGGAACTGGAGGAGGGAGAAGGGAATGGTGGGGAGGATAAGGGGACGGGGGAGTGAGTAATGGCTGGGAGAACAAGGGGACAGGGGAGTGAGGAATGGTTAGGAGGAAGAGGGGACGGGGAAGGGGGGTAAATGGTTGGGAGGACTGGGAGACACGCGAAGGTTGCTGTGGCTGAACAACACATATGCGTAGCTGAGCCACGGCAACGCTTGGCCGGGTACAGCTAGTATATATATAAAACTACAATCTCAGTAAATGCGTACCCTGAGAGCACCATACCCTCCTGTGCGAGTAAACATCATCTCCAGGTAGTCAAGGTTGTTTATGGCTGTTCTCCAGGCAGTGTACTCCGTCTCCGCCTTCAGGTATCCATTCACACTCAAGGCGGTGTTGTATGACAGCTGACCTGGCAGTAACATAACAGTAACTTTTATGGTGGTGATGTATGACAGCTGACCTGGCAGGAACATGACAGTAACTATTATGGTGGTGATGTATGACAGCTGACCTGGCAGGAACATGACAGTAACCCTTATGGTGGTGTTATTTGACAGCTGACCTGGCAAGAACATGACGGTAACCATCATGGTGGTGTTGATGACAGCTGACCTGGCAAGAACATGACAGTAACAATCATGGAGGTGTTGCATGAAAGCTGACTTGGCAGGGACATATTGACCAGTGCAGCGGTGAATATGTCTTTGTTTGTCCCCGTGCAGCGGTGAATAGGTCTTTGTTTGTCCCCGTGCAGCGGTAAATATGTCTATTTATTCCCAGGGCAGCAGTCAATAGGTCCATGTATCCCCTGCACAGTGGCTAATAAGTCTATGTGTTACCTATGCAGTGATTTATAGGTCGATGTGTTCCCCGGGCAGCTGTCAATGGGTCTAGCGGTCAATAGGTCTATGTGTTCCCCGGGCAGCAGTCAACAGCAGTCAAGCACAACTCACGTAGTTGTGCTTGCGGTGGTTGAGCTTTGGCTCTTTGGTCCAGTCTCTCAATCGTCAGTTTACTGGTGACGGAACACGTAAAATAGGTTTACGTGTTCGCCGGGCAGCGGTCAATAGGTCTACATGTTTGCCAGACAGCGGTCAATAGGTCTACGTGTTTCCTGGCCAGCAGTTAATAGGTCTACCTGTCCCCGGGCAGCGGTCAATAGGTCTACATGTTCCTGGGTAGCAGTCTACGTGTTCCCCAGGCAAAGGTCAATAGGTTTACGTATTTCCCGGACAGCGGTCAATAGATCTACATGTTCCCTGGGTAACGGTCAATAGGTGTACGTGTTGGTGTAACAAGAGCGGAACATACCAGCGTGGGCGAGGTCCATAGCGTCGTCGATGATCTGAGCGCGGTTTATCACATGGATGACTTGGTGGTCAGTGTTGAGCTGCTGGATGAGCAAGTTCCAGTTGTCCTCGTCATAGTTCACTCTGTAATAACCTGTCTCCTGTATGTTGAAGATGACCCACTGATCCTTTCCGGGCAGTGAAGAGATAGTTATCTCTGGGTCTGAATCCTTCATCCACACCATGGCTTGTGTGTTGTTAAAATTAGGGTCATCCTGACTAGTGTATGTTAGCGGAACCCACCACTTGTAGTCGTGAGTGTCTGACGAGTTCGCGCTCTTCACCAGCAAAAATCGTTCCTGCAACGATATTATACTTGCTTAAAAATTATGTACAGTTGTATGTCTTGTTCTATTACAGCAACGTAGAGCATTTGCACTTTATAGTACTAAGGAGTTTCCAACCTGCGTGAGGGTTGCCGAGGTGCCGTCTGCGCTTCTCACCACCTTGATGACAGGGTAGCCCATCTGCAGCGTCCACGTGTCCATGATCATCTTGACTGTTGTGTCTGACGGCAGTGAACCGTCTTCATGAGCAGCCTCCGTCAGGTATCGCCACAAGTCATCTTGATCCGCGTTGGAATACGCCCTGGAAGTGTTCTCAGTGTCAGATTATATTATAATTCAATACATTTTGTAAATAATTATTTTAACTTTATCCCATGTGTTCAGTAAGACGTTCAAGGGTTCAACATTATATCCTGCGCCTCAATAACCACTTAAGACTATAACTGTGATTCTCTAAATAAGTTCTAAAATCGTGGACACCGTTAGCCACTGTCAGGAATTATCACAGTATCTATGGCAGTGTAACAGCCCCCAGACCTGAGTGCCTCTCACAGTGCAGAAGTAGTCAAATCTTTCAGCGAAAATCACTTGAAGTGCCAAGCGACTCCCAAAAGACTCAGAGAACGTTCAAGTAGTTAGTAACTTAAAGAAGCTCGGTCGTCCTGTAGTCTCTGTCTATCTTCACCAATCTTGATTCTTCTCATAATGTTTGCTTCATCAGTGATGAGAAATAACGTGTGGTCACCATCGCAGAGGCGGCATCATTGGAAGTCAGCCTTGCAGAAGTGGTGATTTTGGGAGCAGATACTGCACTTTACGGCTTATTGCGGCCTCTTCTTGGCGTAGGGCGTATATTCGTAGCATTTAAGGCAGTGTTTTAGATCAGATTACCGTTCATACGTCACTTGTGCACGTGGGGTCAAGATGCAAAAAACATTTGAACCCACACGTGTTGGCGAGATTTGCTACAGGTAATCTTTACAGTCGGGCGTTCACCGTCGGCGTAAGAGATGACAACAATCTCGTTTCTGTCTGTGTTGGGGGTTTTCGACTTGGATACAGTCACGGATATCTTGTAATTGCTGGTCAGTGATCAAGGCGCTGACACCCCTGGCTAAGGCACTTCCTTCAGCAAGAGAGCGAGGTGCGAAGATGAGGTCAATGTTCTGGTTAAGTAAGTTTCTCGGGATTGAGGTAGAGAGCAGGTGGTCGACTTCAGCTTCTTGAGAGCAGTGGAACACGATTCCCTCTCCCTCTTGTCTGATGTCGATGGGATTTGCGTTGGTTGTGGTATTGATGGCCTTAAGAAGGTCTCTCGTGGTGACTTCTTGGCTATTTCGGAGGCAAACCCTCACTTTTGGATAATGGTCAGATGCCACCCCTTCGACGGGTAGCAGTAGCATTGGATATCTTGTGGAGTGGCAACGAGGACGCATCCTCTTCCGTGGCGAGCGTGCAGAAGATATCACATCTGGTCTCTTGTGATTCTACATTAGCCATCTTCCAATTTTTTTACAGTTCTCCTGTTATCAGAGATTTGTTATACCCGATTGAGAGTGGCATGCACAGTACTTCTTCTCCTTCTTTTATTATTCATGGCAAGATTCCATATGCATACAGATGTGACAGGCCAATAGCCTTTATTACATCCAACTCAAGCAAATACTTCTTACCTTCCCACTGTTAGTCTCTAACTACTACAGTGGTGCATGGTTCTATATTTCCTCTCGTATATCTGGAACTTCTCCTTGCTCTGTTGTGAAGACCTCCTAGAATTTCTAATTGAGTTTGTTGCAAATTTCCTTGTCATTTGTAGTGAACCTGTCTGCCCCAATCCTAAGTTTCAGTACCTGTCCCTTCACTGTTGTTTTCCTTCTGATGTGGCTGTGCAGCAATTTATCTTGAATTTTTTCCTTACTTGATATGTGTCTGGAGATGATTTTTTCCAGCTCCCTTGTGCACTGAAATGTGTGCACAGGAAGTGTGCACCGGAGCAGAAATTTAAGAAATACAACTCTTACACAGTCGTGCAGGGTGTCTATGGACAGCCCTTGACGAGTGCTAGTCAATAAAGCTTTTGTGGTTGTTATAGTGAGTCTGTAGAGAAAGTTATAGCAAGGAGTTGATTTCAGGTGAATTTTAGTACAAGTTCAAGTTGAGAGGGGGGGTTGGGTGGGGTTAACGGCTGTAGGCTGACACCCCACCCTTGAGCCTTCGTGCCATGAGGAGAGCGTCGTCTTGGAAGAACGTGATTGGTCGACGCACCAGGCCGTAGAGGATGCCTGGTTGTGATTGGTGGAGGTGGTGGAAGGAGCTGAGGGGTACCAGCCTGATTGTCGAGCCCTCGCTTGGCGTCAAACCCCATTCTTACCGTGTTGATTGCTGGAGGAGGCTGGGTCGTTTCCATGCTAGGCCAAGCAACGGAAATACCGCCTGCAATAACACAGAAGTGACTCACGATCGTCGTGCCATCATCCCGGGACCGTTGGAGTAAGAATCTGGTTTCGTGGAAGAAGGTTGTCGTCGAAATATTACCGTAGTGAACTTTTGGGAGCGTTTCCGATCCCGCATGATTATTGAACGCCACCCAGAGAAAGTGAACTGAGGGAGGACTGTTATATCAGAATGTGGAAGTGACATTCGTCGTCTAACGTGCCTTAGTTATAAGGTACCGGTGAGAGACGAACTCGGGAAGGTTTCAGTGTTGTGTTGGAAGCCTAGAATTCGTAATTCCGCGGAATTACCAGTGAACAGAGAAGGACTCTACTTTATCACGTGTCATATCAAACAGCCACGTACCGCGCCGTACCATCGAGGGCGTGGTACCATTCTAGCCGTGCGCCGCACCCGTGTCTCGCTCCTCAAGCCTAGCATAGGACTCGGAAGAGTAACACCGCCACACCCTGGTCCGTGTGCCGTGACACCGCGCCGGCACCCGTGGTCCCAGCTGACCATGTGAAGGGAGTCGGTGTACTGCCCATTTCACCACCTGCTGCAGCATCAAGTTGGGTGAACGAATGGGTGTGTGAGTGTGAATGAGACCGATCAGTGATTAAGGAGTAAGTACCTGTTTCTGTTTTGGTATGTTAAACATAGAAGCTGGCTTTGCAGCCAGTGTTCCGTCTTGACATTGTCCTTTTTAACACCTTTTTTTTTGTGAGGTGATAGGAAGTGTAGGCGTGTGAGTTACACCTGTTCTAATGTCAATCAGGTTGAGGAGTGGCCCCAACTTTAAGGGAAGACGTGTGTACGGACACAGAGACACATTCAGTTGTGTGGAGTTGTGACATATTATTTTATTCTATCTCCAAGGGTGGAGGAAAGTGCTTTTATTGAATTTCATTTCTCTATTGTACCGTTTATGTGATATCTTTACAGAGCGTTCCAGTTCCGGCAGTGTAATGCGTAACGGGAGATTTCCCTTGGAGATTAATTTATCTATTTATATATATATATATTGGCCAGCGCTTTTTTATACTGTTGTGTTGTGTTAGGGCCGTGAATTATTATTGACATAATTTGCTGAGGAAGTGTTTTGCAAGTTGCTGTGGGCGGCAAAGTTGTACCGTGTTGTGAACTGTTGACAGTTTGTGTCCTTGGTGTAATGGGTTGTGTACTGTGAAGGATTCCGTGAGAATTTAAAATCATTAACGTCACTGGGGGACATCATTGCTTAATGAGGGTGTTGTGTTGTTGAACAGCATTGTGAATTTGAGGACAGTCACCTGTCCGTGCGACAGTTAATTGGGCACCCCTTGCTAATTTGTGTAATTAGCAGCAGTCATAGTGAGTTCACGCAGTGGTGAGGAATTGTTGGGAGGACGACTAAGACTGTGCTAACGAATTAACGAGCCGTCGTTAATTAAGTGATTGATTAACATAAGGGATTGACTACCTGTCACTGGTTGAAGTTAATTGAGCTGTCATAGCTGTCATTTGTTGGACTTATCGAATCTGTCTGCTGGCAGCGGATTAGGCACTAGAGTAGATGATTGAAGGGAATTAGCACCCGCCACTTAGTGAATTCACAGTGTTAATGTTGTTCTTTATACAGGATGTAGAGTAGCCTTGTGAAGTAGAGTAATAGAACCCTCGTTAAGGTAATTTTGTCATAAGACCAGAAAGATACATGTCATTTGGGTAACAGTAGTGTCTGTCATAACTCGTCTGAATTAAAAGGCTGTCGGGGTGACAGTAATTATATGGGAATTACTCACTGAACGCTTGACGTCTCAAGTGTGATGTAATTAAAGGGCTTTCGAGTTATTGTTGTCATTTGAGTGTCGTTGAGACACGAGTGTGTTAACGTAATTGAATTGTTGCTGATCGCTGTGGACGGTCGATTAACATAATTGTTATTAAATTCAATTAGTGTACTTTTTAGTATTGTTGTTGACTTGAGAGACAAGTGTTATTGTAAGATTTTTATAGGGGTCATCAGTGTTGGATCACCCACCTAGTTACTTGGTACCTTGCTGGGAGGGCTGCGAGAGTCATTCAAGATTTGTGATTATTGTATATTGCTCACCGTGAGGGCCGTGAGATATGTTGATTGCAAGCTTGTGTCACCAGTGGGCACCACTCTGTCCAGTTACTGTCATTATTCAGTCAGCAATGACAGGAAGGAGTCCGTGGGTTCACCAGGCTGTTGAATTAGCTGTTGCTAATGCCACTGGGAGACAGTAAAGTAACGTAAACTCGTTGCTGTAGTAGTTCTAGATTTTTGTTGGATAAATTGTTATTGTTTTTAGAAATGGTCGTTTAAGTTCAATCCCACAATAATATTGTCCCACTTCTCATGTTCTGCAATGCCTTGCATGCTTATGTGTAACTTGAGTTTGTCACTAGAGCTTGAGTCCGATTCATAGCACCACACTTAAAAAAGAAATTACGAAGTGAGTTCTCGTCAGTTACCCTCTAATAGTTTTATCACTAGAAGGAACCATCGGCCCAAGTGAATAGGTTTTCACCCGTATGGTGGAAGCCTTGCGGTTTGCTCCCACTTTTCCTATGGTCTCAGGCTTGAAGTTAAAATCAGCTAGTAAGCAGTTCTTTCTGTTTAAGGTCTGCCTCCCATGCGAGGTAGTTACATTAACGTAACATCAATAGGAAACATTTTTTGATCAAGTAAAAGTCAAAAAGAAAAAATCTCACAATATGTCATTTACATACTGTCTTTCTGCCTGTCACGCTGCAGTATTCATTCCTAACCCTGTGAGAATATGAAATTCCAGCTAGCTTACACATATTGATAGAAGAAGGCACACTGCAACTTTTCTTTTAACTAGTGCACAAGAGTGC